GTGACGGGATGCTTTGAGGGGAGCCGGGGAGCAGGTGAAAACAATTGAGATGATTTGAGATGCGACTGAACTGTGACATGTGATCAGTGCCACACGTCACCGCCCGACTGCCTGTCATGTTCATTCATGCCTTCAATCATGGCTGGGTCCAGCCAGGAGACCTGGATCGGTATCTTCCTTGCACATGGACGAGCGACCTAACTGAGGTTGTGATGGAGGTCCAGGCCAGACCTTCAGTCCTGCACCAAACCCTGATTTTTCCAACAACTTGGAACCAGAAATTCTTGCCCACTGCACCGATAAGTCAACAGAGTGCACCCTTTAGTTTTATGATGTTTCTGGAAAGGAGGCCAAATCGATGGTGGATACCGAGAAGAGTAGCTGGAGGAAGCTACTGAGAGAGTTTGAGGAAGAAGGTCATACAGACGACCTGAGCATCAACTGTCACGAACTTCAGAAGATGGGTGATGTGTCTGAGAAAAGTAGGGCCCCCAGTATCAATCCTTCTCATGGCTACCCCTCATTGCAAACTTGGGGTCAACAACATGATTTGTATGTACTTGCACGTGAGGTGAAGAAGGTTGGACGATCGCCCCAAAACCTGCACAGGCAAGTGTACTTTATTGTACGGTGTGTTTGACTGATCGATGAAGTATGTTCAACACTGTTCCTGGTCAGTTCAATACTGCATTGGATCAGGTCTACTTCACTTGGACAACGCCTGCAACCACCAACGGCGTGAAGTATTCGGGAGTGGCTTCACTATTCAATGCCGCTGCGTCCCAGTTGCAACACAGTGCACCGAGATCAGTTCCAACCTGGCTTCGCCAGCAATACCCAGGAGTTGCAAAGCTCGCGTATGCTTGAATACATTTGGCGCATCGGCTTGACCAAAGAATCAAAGGAAACTTGTCCAATTATCAGCTTTCCAGACATGCTGAATCTCAAAATGCAGTGAGCGGGTACGCACACAAGCTGGCTTCATGTTGTCTCTAAGGAGTTCACGCCCAGAAACTTTGCGAAATCAGTGGAGATGAGTTTCATCATGTTTCATCCTTCTAGCAACATGTTCAATGGACAGTTTAATTTGAAAAAGCATGTTCTGTCTTCCTTGAAAGATACCCAGGAAAACCACTGTACTACGTAAAGCAGGTCTTGACGATGAAGGAGGACGAAGTGATTCGACTGGTCTAGGGTGCGAACAGCTCCAACCCTGGTTTTTGAAACTACGACATCCAACTACATTCTGCCATGTACTGTGCAACCTTGTGTTGGGTAGATTCAAGGGTTGGAGCTCCTTTGGGTGAGCAAGCCATGAGTTACGGGGCACCAAACCCATGAGCTACGGGTGCGAACAAAGCACCAAGATTTTGTGAGCAGGGGAGCTGACACCAATCCCTGTCAGACCCTCATACTGTGGACAAACAGTGGGTGATGTGTGAAAACAGGTTCAGGTCTAAGCACTAGTGACACACACCAATTTAACATTGCTCAACCGTTCATGCAAGTACAATATATCATGAAGTCTGCCATGCATGCGTGTTCCGTCACTCGCAAGAACTTGCCCCACTGTCCCACAGTTTCAGTTAGGCAGCTTAGCTTTGGGCGTGAAGCCATTTTGGCGTTGAGCTGGGGGGGGGGCCAAGAAAAGTGCTCGCCTCTTACTGCAATCAGATCGTGAGTGAGCTCCTGTATTTCACGGTTGCTACCATTTGTGGGCAGTCGGTTTCCAATTTTTTTTCTTAAAGAGAACTGTGCGTCTTGGGCTGGTTTGCTGGTAGTCGCCTTCCAAGATCCTTTTTTGGCCTACCAAGATCGTTTGAATGATAGTCTTCCATATTCTTCCACCATGTCAAACATATCGCATGTTCCTAGTACAGGGCAGCGCATGGCATGGTCTTAAGAACCCTTCGCCACCAAGTAGTCATGTCTCCCATCACAATGGGGGTGAAAGATGGCATGCGGCGTAAGTACTTGGATCACAATGTGGCAAGGGATGGACCCCAACGACGGCAGAGCTTGCAGCGTCTCTATGAGAAGAAAAGAAACTTGGTTGAAATTATCTAGTTTGGGTTTCAACTTCCTATGAGTGACTACATCTCTCACTCCTGCTCACAAAGAATTATATCGGTTTCAAGCAGGAGTGTTTGACCAAGGAATGGAGCGTCGTCGTCTTGCACCAAAGTCAAAGAAACCCTCTACAGCCGTTGGGGATGATGATCATGTTTTGCCCCTCGCTGGTGATGAGCTGGCTACATGGGATCCTTATGGCTTTGCAGGCACCCTTCACTCAGAAACTAGTGAGCCTCGATTGAGCCTGTCAGCCGAACAATTGAAATCAGTGCCTTTGCCTAGCGAAAAGGGCCTTTGTGCTATGTGCCTCTTTCAGTCGATGCAGGTGGGGAAGGATAAAACAAACGTACAGATTGCATTGACTGCGTCGCAACGACGGTACTATGAGACAGGGTATAAGGAGTTGGAAAACCTTACCCATGAGACCTATGCATTGAGTCGCTCGGCTAGTAGCTTCAGAGTGGTTTATCATCAATGGCACTGCTCAAGCTTCGAAATGGTGCCATCAATAGCAGCCTGCTTGGGTTCAATCTTAATGCCGTTTCCGAAACCAAATAATAGCTTGGCAATCCACTAAGATCAGAAGATCATCAAGCTGGAGAACGAAAATCGGAGGCTGAAAATGGATTTGGCATCCTTGAAAGTCAAGGGTCGCCAGGGTTAGCTTTTGGTCATGTCCCACAGCTGGGGTTGTCTGTGGGTAAAAAGCCGACCGCCAAGCCGAATTGCGCCATGCACCGTGCAATTGCCTTGCTCTCACATCAGCACATGACACCTTGCAATCAATCAAACCGACTCATTAACTGTCGAGGTCATGCGCAACTAGTTGATTTCAAAACCGAGGCGGGTGAGTGAATGCATTGCACGGTATGGTCTGAATGTATTCCAAACAGGTTCGATTGAAAAAGCAACCTTTCAATAGATCATGAACCTGAGTTAGTTTTGAATCAACCTCATGATAATGTACAACTCATTGTCTTTTCAAGTGCAGGTAGGTGCTGATTTTGCTTCACTCCCTTTTTAGGCTAATGGATTATTTCGGGCAGAGTGTGCCCCAAGTCCTGTGTTGCAGGATGCTTGTGTTGCGCACGGTCTGTGAGTCTACGCGCGGTACCTGTGCGCGTACATGTGCGCGACTTAGTTTGCCTCGCTGCGCGCAAATACTTGCTATGCGCAATATCCGTTTTGAGTGCAACTTGTGCTTTCCAAACACTGTCATTTCCTGCTTGCATGCGCACTGCAATACCTTGCAATAATGCACTCCAGTATCTGTGCGCAATATCTCCAGTATCTGTGCGCAATATCTCCAGTATCTGTGCGCAATATCTCCAGTATCTGTGCGCAATATCTGCGCGCAATATGTAAGCGTTGCCGGGTTGCCGGGCGCCGGGTTGCCGGGCGCCGGGTTGCCGGGTGCCGGGTTGCCGGGTGCCGGGTTGCCGGGTGCCGGGTTGCCGGGTGCCGGGTTGCCGGGTGCCGGGTTGCCGGGTGCCGGGTTGCCATGTGCTGGGTTGCCGGGTGCCGGGTTGCCGGGACCTGGGTGGCCAGATTGCTTGGTTGCTTGTTTGTTTTGCTTGGATGTGATCTTCTGTGTGTCAGAGTTGCGTGCTCAACCGCATATGTCTCACATGACACGCTGCCACATCATACCCGCATCATACTGCCATGTGTTCAAGATGTGTTGGAAGTTGTTGTTCTAGCTTTTTAGTGTGTGTCTCTGCCTAGCGCAGGCTAAGTTAGCCCTTGGCCCTTGCCCCTGTGCCTATCAGGAATGCAGCGATGCCTTGCCATTGCATGGCCACTGACGAGAGTGAGTTTCACACGGCTTCACATGGTCTTTCACTGACTCAGAAGTTTGAGAACAACATGCTTAATCATCCTCTCAAGCAATGTCTAAATAGTTTATGAATTTCTTGCTGGGTTGTTTTGAAGATGTGTTCGGAGCCTAAGAGAATAGATCCAGCGGAGCAAAGACCGGACAAACTTGGTTTGGAAAAGGATTGCGCTCAGCAGCTGCAGCTGGAAAGCCGCCCACGCGGCCCATATGGCTATTATATTGTCCATGTCATCAACCAACAACAAAAGCAATAAGACCCAAATGTGATGTTATGAGACCCAAATATAACGAAAACTACTTTGTAATTATATACTTGGAGATCAAGTGCAAAGCAGATTGAAAAGGTCAAAGCATCCCAGATCCTTGCTTTGCTGATCTCTCCCTGAGTCTGTGAGGGTCAAAAAGGGGGTGCCTGCAACAAGCCTTTGCGCAGCTCGGGGATGGCCAACAGGAAAGGGCAAAGTTGGCAAAGAGCGCCACTGTTTCAGGTCCAGTCTATCATGCGATGGGCTTGTGGCGGGCCCCGCAGAAATATCCGCAAGGCATGTGGTGGTTTCTGCTGAGGTTAATCACTTGTACTTGGTAGGGTGCTAGTTGCTATAGGTGAGTTTCCCCTTTTGTAGTCAATGATCATTCATATGGTCCAGTGTTCAATCTGGACGATTCGTTCAATCTTGACGATTCGTTGGATTTCAGGAGAGACTGTTTCAAATGTTGAGTCATCCCACCGAAGACCTCTTTTCCCGTGCATGGCCGGGTCCCAATGGATGGTTTAGTGATGTTTAGCGCATGGGGATTGTGACCATTCAGTCTGTATTCACGTACATAACCACCAACCAACACCCACTAGTCAGGGGTTGTGTTGGCGCGTTGAAGGCAAGTGCGCGCTCCACACTAAGGAGTTTTTGGAGCTCCAACAGGCCCGTTCTCCTCCCACATCCGCGGATGAACCCGGACCTGCTGGTGGGGGAACTGCACTTCAAACCGGCTTGGAGAGGTCTCCACATCCGACCGCAGTTCATCTATGTTCATCTCCGGGCGGTTTGGTCTTCTTCCCAGGTGGGTCCCTGGTTCCGGCACCGCGGAGCAGGAGGCCTTGCCCGGCTTCCGAGGGACCATCTCTCAGGCGCTCCCCTTCCGAGCAGGTCGGCATGTGGGAGCCTGGACCCGACCTAGGGGTACATGAGGCGATGACCTCCAAATGGTACGGCATGTTACACATTCTATAGTACACATTCTACATCATTCTTCTGTGTAGTATGGTTCTTGTAAGGTCTCGTAAGTACAAGCCATAGGAATCAGAACCTTCCAGACAGGGTGACAGAGGTTATGCTATGCTCAGCAGGCAGTGCAGCAGGAGGAAAAATTGCCCAAAAGCAGCTTCAGGAGGGCTTGAGAGCTGAGTCACCCCGCGAGAACCATGTGAAGCACACGAATCGAAGACCTGACCTTTGCATGTGTTTGGGCTCACATGACTCTCTCGCAGCAAGGGGACCGAATCGCCTTGTTCAAAACTCGCATCTTGCAGCGAGTTGGCATCTCAGAGATTACATATCCTTCGCAGCATGAAAACACACATCGAACTAGCAGATCACGCGATTATAGCATAGACGCCTCCGTTCTCCCAGCGGCCAGAGGGACAAAGGCATCCTTGAGCCATTTGAGGCCAGGGACACTGGGGTGTTTGAGCCAATTCAGTTGCCACTCATCAAGATTTAGTGAAAAAAATTCCGTTTCTTTTCATGGGTGTTCCAGTTTATGCCATTTTTGACAAATGATTTGGGGTTCTCACTGCCGATCAGTTAAGATCCAATTGATAGGTTCCCTCACATCCATTGGCCCAGCTCTTGTTGCTCAACAGGCTGTGACGTGATGGCAGGGTCCTTCAAGGCGGTTTCGTTACGTTGACCGAGCTGCTGGGCCACGTTGCGCATGTCCATGTGGGCATATTATTGAATGGCAGGTGGATATAGCGGCCTTGCAACAGCTATTGCCACTGAGTCGCTGAGTCGCAAATAGACTCGACAAATGGCCTTGTGACACATGGCTGAGAAGGTTATCGGCCAAATGCATTTGGTGATCTTTGCTTTGGTGCCTGGCTGATACTTATAGGTCTTATAAGCTGATGCTGCTGATAAAAGTACCGCAAACATTCATCATCTCAATGTGTCCAGCAAGGTTTTTTGGGAGGGTGTAGGGAAGACCATTGATGGGTGTTTGGTGGGTTTGCGCCCCGAGGGTTCATTTCTTCTCTATTTATTCTTTGAACCTCCACCGCCACTGCCACTGCCGTCGTGTGGGTCCGTCGTGCGGGTCGAGATCGATGTCTTAAGGCTCCGGCTCCGAGGGCGAGAACGCGCGGGAGCGCATGTTTAAGGCTCGGAATGGAAAGGAATTATATACTCGGGTGGAGTGGGCACAGCATGGCAAGGCTGATATGTTGAGGGTAACTTCAGTCAGAACCACCACACGGATGCAAGAAACTGCTGCAATTCTGTGGAAACGACCGTCAGTTTTTGAGGTGGACTCTTCCCCAATCTTGTCCCTAATCAACAACTCTGCCAGCACGGCTGTGCCAGCTGCAAACGAGGTGCTCGAGACACATCATTCTTCGGCTCACGAAGCTGTGCCGGGGCTTTTTCCCCTTCATGGTCCCGAAAGGTTCCTCGCGGATGCCGGGGATCTGAGGGGCTCGTCCATCTGCCAGGAACTGGTCGTCAGATCCAACTGCCTCATCCAACTGGGCCAGACCGCCGCTGCCAAGGTCGACACCGGCGAAAGTGGATTCTCCCGGACGCACAGGAGCTGAAGCTGAGCTCCACTTGTGGAACACACCCCACCTAAAGATCGGCAAAAGATCAAAAGGAATCAAAGGATATGCTGGCGTAGCTCCCAGAGCCAGACAAGCATGAAGCCCTCCAAGGGTGGAGTTGTTCCAAAGGCACCACAACTGGTACTTGATCGTACTTGTAGGACGTGGGGAAGCCAAGTCTTCGCTGGTTTTCGGTGTGACAGAAGGACCCTTGATGACCCACAAAAGTCGGAGTTTGGGGGCGTCTCTGAAATGGGCATGACTTCAATGCGTGGTCGAGCTTTTGTGGGAGGGGAGTATCAGAAAAATAACATGAGACACCGGGGAAAGGAACGGGTCAGAGACACCGGCCGCAGGGACGCAGCCGTGCTTGGAACGGCACACTCAGCCTTGAGAGTCTCAGGCGCGGGTCGCGATGTCGTCGGTCATGTGGACCGATGAATCCAACCTCCCCCGGTAAGTTCTGGAGGTTTTAGAATCCAAATGGAGGGGTTTGATGAATGGCCGGTGGAACACGAGTCAGGCCGACCAGACCGTCTCTCTTGGTACAGTGTTGGGTGGTTTTATTGCTGATGGTGTTCAAGCTCAGGAACTGCGGAGAAAGAAACACTGAAGCCACTCTTGGGTTTAGCATGGTTTAGCTGTAGCCGCTTGTGCAGCAATCATGTGCCATCCAGATGCCCAGGTGCAAAAAGTCTCACTTCTGAGGTCAGCCAGGGTTTGGTTTGTGCTCACCTTCCGCCTGGGGAGTGGAGCCATGGCAGATGAGGATGCCGCGAAGGGGAAGGGTCTCCCCGAAGGGATTGAGAAAGAGATCATCCAGTCGGGTGCAGATGCAGACTTCAAATCACCCAAAGTTGGAGATGAAGTGACTGTACACTATGTCGGGACGCTGACTGATGGATCAATCTTTGATTCTTCCAGAGCACGGGAACAGCCCTTTACCTTCACTTTAGGGAAAGGTGAAGTGATTCAAGGCTGGGATGTAGGCGTTGCATCCATGTGCAAGGGCGAGGTGTCAAAGTTCACGTTTGCGCCGAAGTACGCCTATGGTGAGGAGGGTTCACCGCCCAAAATACCTCAAGAGGCAACTCTGATCTTTGAGATTGAATTGATCAACTTCACCTCCAAGGACGACTTGTTCTCTGATGGAGGTGGGCCCACCGAATCGAGGGAGCTCCTATATTTACATCAGACAGCACCAAACCTGTGAGGTTGGGTTAGAAGATGTCGCAAGCACTGCAAGCGGTGCTGCTTTGATGTGTTTTGTATGTTGAGTTAAGGCACCCCTCCAATTGAGGTGCCCTCCATAAATGTTCACAAAAACATATTTTGTATGCCTACTGCAGTTTGAGTGTTGCTTGCCTTCTTCGAACAGAAAACAAAAGGTTCGTGACTTGTTTGCTTGCGAAAAGGTGTTATCAAAGTCTTGGTCAAGGAGGGCAGTGGATGGAAGGAGCCTAAAGGTCACAGTGAGCTGCAAATGTCGCTGAAGTGCTGCAAGCTGGAAGATGGGAGCATCATCGAGGAGAAGAATTCCTTTGAGTACCAAATGGGCTCAAAATCTTTGGGACCTCTGAAGACAGCAGTGGAGAAAGGCCTCACAACAATGAAGAAGGGCGAAGAATGCAAGTTGACCTGTCGGAAAGACTATGCCTATGGAGAGCTGCATGGGGATGTGATTCTGCACTTGGCTTTGGAGCAGCTGTATGAGACGATTGACATTTCCCTCGCCAAGGACAAGTCAATGCTGAAGAAGCAGATTAAGGAGGGCGAGGGCTACGAGAAGCCCAAAGAATGCTCAAAGGTGCGGATGTTGATATAGTCTCCTAGAATTTCAGCCACTTGAGAGCCCCACGAAACTAGAACTGAAACGAAGCACGAACTGAAGCGAAGCACAATTTGAGGTACGATGTTTCTATATTTAAGTCTTTCAGTGATTGGGTGTTTGCCCTGTGTTCGATAATTTCTGGTGTGGATGTGCCTTTATCTCCGCAACCTCCAGGTATTTGTGAAGGTTGAGGGGGCGACTGACGGCTCAAAGCCTTTGCCTGGCTTTGTGCCCAAGACGCTCGAGTTTGTGGCCGGTGATGGGTTTGTCTGTGACGCGCTGGAATGTGCCGTGGGCATCAGCAGCCGCATGGTGCACGGTTGCTGGTGTTTATAGTTCTTGCATCTCGTGCGAATCGGTTTTAGGAAGTGCTACCAAGCTTCTAGAGATTGAAGGAGTTTAGAATTTTGACTGTTCATGCTCCGGCTTGCTTCACAACCACTGGCTTGTTGATTTGTTTGGGGCATTCGTGGGGGTTCCTGTTCCCAGGCCTCCAATTCTAGTCCTCAGGGGGTCCACTTGGGCATGCGGCTTGGGTCAAAAGCCTCGTAAACTCAAGTCAACTTTCGTATGCTTTTGCGCTGTCCTCACCATTCCGAGATAGGAAACACTGTAGTAGTTTGATATCTATGCTAGGTGTTGGTGTTGGTCATTCAGTTCTGTGCCTTGTGCCTTCCAGACCAGGGAACAAAGCAATGTCCAATGTCAATACCAATCAATAATTGGGAACGGTTATTCAGATCAACTTTACCTACCTGGACGTGCTGTAAAGTATTGTGCAATCTTTGAGCCGATATTATCCACGGCACCTGAACATACCACTGACCTTCCTTCATCATGCTTCCCTTGAGACCCTGGAGCACCACGTTTCGCCGCAGCACCTGAGGTGCGGTGCTGGAGATGCGGCGCGCGGAGCGTGCGGCCCTCGTGCTGAGTGGGGGCTGTGAGGAGCCGCAGCTGGGCGTGGCCATCGACACGAAGGCGTAGCCGCTGCCGGGGCCGAGCTGCTCGAGCTCGGTCGCTTCTACGATCTTCTACGGAGTGGTGAGAGGGACGATGAGGGACTGAAACATGGGAAGACGGGGCCCGTAGGTCCTGAGTAGTGATACAGACTTTTATTGTCTGTGAAAGAGAAGCCAGGCATTGATCCATGCAGGCAGTGTCCACGTGGCATCTAGTCTGTAAAGCTGCCAAGGGAGGGCTTGTGATGCATAGAACCTTGTGTTTGGGTACCGCATGTCACATTCGTGGGAGTTTTCTTGATGGACCCAAAGAACCAACCATGCCTTTGCATGGTTCCGACATCAGGTGGTTTTCACCCTGGAGCTTTGTGGCTTTGAAAAGAGCAAGGAGAGCTGGGATATGCAACTCGGAGAGGTGACTTTCCGCATGAACTTGCCCTTCCCCAATAGCTTCTTGTTCCTAGTAGTAAGGCCAGGAGCGCCCTTAGTAGCGTCCTTGCTACTAAACATAGAACATAGAA